CCGGCTGATAGCACAGGGAGTGGTGGCCGTCCTCTCTGCATAGGTCAGGAAGTGGAGGCCCAGCGAAGCAGACTCTCTAGTCGGAGGAGAATGGAGTTCCCATCTCCATCTGTTCAGGCCTTTGCACACAACCCTCTCAGCTGTCCCGGCCCTCGTTGGCCGGGTTGTCTGAGCGACTGGGCAGAGGCATCCGGGATCCCACACAGTGCCCCTTCTCAAGTAACCAGCAGGTCTGGGAGGGGTGGATGAGAAGCCCAGCACTGGGACACACACGCCAACCAGGAGTTAATCTCAGTGTCACCTGTCCCATAGTCTCCAGAGGAGGGGAGAAAGCTTGCCACTTGTTGAGTATAGCGTTGTCATTTCAGAACCAACAAGAATTGTAAGTGGGAACGTGCTGGAAAAATCCTGCCCTCACAGACTAGCAGCCAGAACCATTCAAGCCCACCCTCTGTACCCGGGTCTGGCTTAGCTCCTGCATACTTTTGACTTATCTGATAAAGAACTGGAAGAGCCAGGGACCTGTTGGTGGTGATTGAAATCAGCCACCAGGAGGGCTCTTTGCTGTGTTCTTTAAGCTTCCAAGGAAGGAGGAGCTTAGGACAGCATCTCACTGTAAATGACTTAGCTACCCCTGCAGAAAAGGGACTGCTGTTCTGAGTCCTGGGGTCTTAAGGGTCATGTGCTGTTTTCTGCCTTTCTTCATTCCAGCTCCAATCCAGACCACAAGCACTCTCTATGAGCGGGGCTTTGAGAAAATCATGAAGCGGCAGAATAAAGAACAAGTTCCACCCCCTGTTGTGGAGTCTAAGAAACCAGGAAACAAGAAGCAACCAAAGAAGGTGACAGCTGTCACTAGCCAAAACCAGAAGCAGGGCCTATTCCGAAGCCTGGAGGACGCACTGAAAGCTGTAAGTGTGCCTAGGCTTGTGGTGCAGAGGAAATGTGGGGTTTAGGGGCACTCAGATGAGAGGCGTTCTAGCAAAGATGAAAATCCCAGGGGACAGAATGTTTGCACTTTGAATAGAAAGGGAGTGGGGTGTTTGTAAGAAAAGTGGGTGAGACAAGTGATGGGAACCCCAGAACAAGATGGGGGTGATGGGAGAGCTGGTGTGGGTTCTCTGTCTCCCAGAAGCAGTGATCTTTCACTTCCCATCTTGCCCTTTGTCCTTGCCCTTGAACATATCAAGGGCCTACAAGTGTGTGGCATGAAGATCAACATTCTCAGCTGTCCTGCCCCATACTTTCTTAGGATCTGGTTGTGGCAAAATCATAGCATTCACATACAAAAACCTTCTTCAGCCACTTTCCTTCCCCTTACAACTCACTGTAGAAGTCTCTCCCTGACAGCTGGATGTGGCAGCTCTGAAGAAGGAACTGGACAAGAGCCAGAGTGTGTTCACTGGGAACCCCTCTGTATGGCTGAAGGACCTGGCCAGCTATCTCAACTACAAGCTCCAGACTCCACGGATTGAGCCCACTCTGAGCCAGTATCCACATGGTAAGTCCCCCACCCCTCAGCTCAGATAAGGCCAGGGACTTTCCAAAAGGGTGGGTGTTCCCCAGAGCCCCATGCCTCTACTGTCGTGATTCAGACATGTGGCTGGGTCTCCTTGGGGTAGAGAAAGCCAGCCTTGATGCAAAGGTATCTCATCTTAGCACTCACAGAGGCCAATGGCCCCAGATTATCCCTACAGCCTCGTGAGCCAAGAGCTGCGTGGGATCATCCAAGGGCTCCTGACCAAAGCTGCAGGGTCTGTGGAGCTCTTTTTCGATCACTGTCTGTTCACCATGCTGCAAGAGTTGGATAAGACACCAGGTAAGAGAGCCCTATGAAGGATGACCGTCTGGAGAGCCCACTCCTTAACAAGAAATGTGCTAATCTCCAAAAACCTTTTTGGGAGAAGAGGGAGGAGGAGGAGATTGGGGCTTGGGCTCACAGGTGGAAAAAAAAGTGTGAGGTACCAAGTCATATGAGTAACTTTGAGAACATATGTCTCTCTAGGGGAGTCACTACATGGGTACCGCATCTGTATTCAGGCCATTCTACAAGACAGGCCCAAGATTGTCACCTCAAACCTGGGCAAGGTGAGCCCTGGGTAGTGCTGGGGACTCCAGGGGTAGGACTAGGGAAACCAGGCAGAATCTACATTGTTAGATTTGGCTGTGGAAAGGAATAACGCATAATACCGTTAACTGTGTGTCTCCGTTGTTTAGGGGTGACCCATACATTGTGTTACAGAAGGCTGTGCCATAGAGAGGTTCCATAGCTTTCCTGGAACTGGTCAGCCAGCTTGAGGAGAGTGGGGGAAAAGTATACCACCATAAGGTTTCACTGTTCTTGGCACCTTTCCCACCTATAATCTTCCCACTAGGATCTGTAGTGCTGGTGTGCTGACCTATAACCTGCCTTTTCTACCCATCTCCTCAGTTCCTAGAGCTTCTGAGGTCCCACCAGAGCCGACCAGCAAAGTGCCTGACCATCATGTGGGCCCTGGGACAAGCAGGTTTTGCCAACCTCACCGAGGGACTGAAAGGTAACAGATAGAGAAGAATGGATTGGTCTCTTCTCTGATGGCCTCTGTGCATGAGCCTGAGACTTGCTGACTTTTGACTCTACAGTGTGGCTGGGGATCATGCTGCCTGTGCTGGGCATCAAGTCTTTGTCTCCCTTTGCCATCGCATACCTGGACCGGCTGCTCCTGTGAGTAATGGGGGGACAGCGAGGGGAAGGCCCAGGGTGTCCACAAGAGGCTGTTTCGGCAAAATGGGATGTCATGATCCTGGTCTCCATAGATGCGAGGAAAATCAGGACCAGCTCCTCCCACCTCCGAGTGTGATGGTGAGGAAGGAAAGGGAGGGAGCCATTGAGGGCTGGGGCTGGGGTAGAGTTTATGCCCTTCTCCCTGTATACTGGCTGAGCCGAGTTCATGGCTGGAGCATCAGAGTGGCTTCCAACAAACCTGTGTCTTCTTTCTCTAGGATGCATCCTAACCTCACCAAAGGCTTTGGCATGATTGGTCCCAAGGACTTCTTCCCACTTCTAGACTTTGCCTATATGCCCAACAACTCCCTAACCCCCAGGTAGGACTACTTTGGAGCATGCATACAGGGGAGAGTTCCCAGCACAAAATCGAGTCACATTTATATCCCCTGTCCCCTGAAGCCCTAGATTCACAAATGGAAATTTAAACAGGAGATTTCAAGGGGCCTGTGAGACCCAGAAATTATATATGTCTTTGAATGTGACAGTTTTTCTTTTTAGTGTAGCATTGGGCAGGCTTTAGGGAGGCAAACTTTGCAAGGTTCTTCTGTGTACAAAGACTCAGAACCATCCCAAGACACTTAGTGACTGTCCCTTCAGGCCGGGGATGAGCTCAAGTGTCACAGGTCCATTTACAGTCTGAGCCGGGCCCTCCTCCCCTAGCCTGCAGGAACAGCTGTGCCAGCTCTTCCCCCGACTGAAGGTGCTGGCGTTTGGGGCCAAGCCAGAATCCACCCTGCACACCTACTTCCCTTCGTTCCTGTCCAGAGCCACCCCTAGCTGTCCTGCTGAGATGAAGAGAGAGGTAAAAAGTCTTTCCTTGCCCAGAGCACAGCTGCAGCTTACTCCCACGGCCACCCGCCCCACTCACTTGGGCTTTCCCATGGGAGTGTGGGCCTGAGAGGTGGGAGGGTGGTCAGCAGTGGCCTGTCCCTTGTAGACAAGGCTGCAGCTCAGAACCGCATAGCAGCTTCTCAAGCGTCTTGACCATATTTCCCACCCTTCTTGGTAGACATGTTGTTTCCAGAAGCCCCAGCATTCTCTCTCTTTTGTCCTATGCAGCTTCTAGGCAGCCTGACCCAGTGCCTGACTGTGGACCCCCTCAGCACCAGCGTCTGGAGACAGCTATACCCCAAGCACCTGTCACAGTCCAGGCAGGTGGGGGTGGGGTCACCCGCTCTGCTCAACACAGAGAAGCCTCCTAGTGTATACTTTCCAGACTAGGGCTGGTGTGTCATAGCAGAAACACTGGTCAGTGTTCTCCAGGCTCACATCTGTCCATTTGAGTGAGGACGTGCCTGGGGTGGCCCTTAAGGAATGACTGTGGGTGGAGGTCTTTGAACACTGAGAACCCAGGATCTTGGTAGGCAGAGGTGGGGAAGCAGGCCCATTGGGCTGCTGACTGAAAGAAGCATGCTTCTCCACAGCCTGCTGTTGGAACACTTGCTCAAGTCCTGGGAGCGGATTCCCAAGAAGGTGAGGAGCCCAGAGGATGTGGGGGGCCAGGGCTTGTCTAGTTTCTCACTTTGTGCCCCTTGCCCTCTGTCCTCCCTTTCCTGTGCCTTTGACACTGAGCATGAAGCAAGATGGGGCCTCAGGATCCTGTCATAGGCCGGGGCTCACATTCTCAACTCATCTCTTGGTATTCTGTAGGCACGGAAGTCTTTGCAAGAAACCATTCAGTCCTTCAAGCTTGCCAACCAGGAGCTTCTAAAGAAGGGCAGTGGTGGCAATGAGCATGTTGTCACCTGTGATGCAGCCTGCAAGGTGTGATACCCAATCTCCCAGCCATGCCCTGTCCTGCATCTGTCTTGGCACACCCTGGGTTGGACTTGGGTCACATCCCTGTCCTGCCTATCTGTGAATCCCCCACTACCTCAAGCTTATGTGTAGGCCTAGCTTGGGGCTTGCACTAGGAAGCAGAGACCAAGCCTTCCCCCTCTGACCACTGTCCTCTCTCTGCTGCCAGGGCTTGTTGCAACAGGCACGGGGTCCTCGGCCACCCTGGGCCCGGCTACTCCTGTTACTTCTGGTCTTTGCAGTAGGATTCCTTTGCCATGACTTTCGGTCACATGGCTCCTTCCAGGGTAAGTAGTGCTTGGTGGTCTGGGAAGAGAGTGTGGTGGTGGGGCACAGAGTTTTGTGTAATACCTCCAAACCCCACCTTGTCCAGATGAGATCTCAGTGCCACAGTCAAACACTTTCTCCTCTGTTGTAGGTAGACTGGGCATTCCCTTCAGATTGGAGTGACACTCTGCAGGAGACACATGGTTACAAATTTACAGCACCTAAACACATTTTCTCATTTTAACTCCTGAGGACAAAGAAAGATTTAGCCACAGATTAAGATCATAGCTAGCAGGAACAGAAAGATAACTAAGTGGTCCCACAGGCTTGCTACCAAGTATGACAAGCTGAGTTCCATCCACAGGTACACATGGTAGAAGTCAACACAAGTCCAAGTCCTGCACATCCATGCTGTGGCATATGTACATATATGCACTAAGTAAATTAGTAAATGTAGTTTTTAAAAAAAAAAAAAAAAAAAAAAAAAAAAAAAAAAAAAAAAAAGGTTGCAACATGTAAAAGGCAGATATTCAAACCTGAGGTTTTCTGACCTCTAAGTCCAAGACTCCACCCAATGTCCCATTCTTTCTGTTCTTGACCCAGCAGAAGGTACTCAGCCTGCAAATCTCCCTCCAAACCTGTCTAGTTAGACCCTAGAGCACATGAAACCACCCCACTGCCTCCCTGTGCCTGCCCCAGGACCTAAACACATTTAGAATGTCTGTCTTCCAAGCCCTTACCCCTGCTCTCCCAGCTCACCAAAGGCTTCCTTTGCAGCCTCCCTCACTGGCTGGTTGCTTCGATCATCTGGTTTCTTGCCTGTTGGCCAGCACCTGTGTGCCAAGCTCTACTCTTGCAGCATTCAAAGCTACAGGTGAGCTACTGCCAAAGAGGGCAGGGTGGTGCTGGTGGTCTGGACAGGCCCAGACAGTGGGAAGTAATTAATATTCCCGTCCTCCCTTTTTTGGCTGTTCTTTGGTGAGCAAGTTGTCCTGGGAAAGCTCACTGTGCCTCTGTCCTCCACTTTCTCTACAGCTGGCTGCAGGAGACATTGCCAGCCTATGGCTCCCACCTGCTTGCTGTGATACAGCCCAGTTTGCAGCTGGCCTGGACGCACACTGATGCCACCGTTAGCTTCCTTTCTGCCCACTGTGCCTCTTACCTTGCCTATTTTGGTGACAGCCTTGCTGGCTTCTTGCAGAGGGTAAGCTGGAGATCAGGAGTCAGAAAAGGACCCATCCTCCCAGAGACAGAGTTCTTGGGAGGGAGCAATCCTGCATAGGCAGAATCCTATTGCCCTGGGCATCTTGTCCCAGCCACTCTCCGTGGTCCTGCTGCAGGTCCAGCTCCCTGAGGCCCTGCACCAGCTCTTGCACTCCTTGAAGGATCTGCTGCTGCTTTTCTACCACAGTGTGCTACTGCCATTGTGGCACCTGCTGCTTGCAGCCCTAGCCCGAGCCCAGGAGCACTGCCACCAGGCCTGCAGGTAAGACTTACACTCCAGACTCTACAGGTTCTCTGGTGACCCCACTTCTGGTCCCTGGGGACAAGGGTACACCATTCATCTTGTCACAGCCACACTAGGGTGAGGGTTATGAGTTTAAGCTGCAGCCCTGTGACAACACACATGCCCCCCAGCCCTCTCAAATATTCTGCTTTTCTCATAGAGGAGAAGTGACCTGGGACTGCATTAAGACACAGTTTGGTGAAGCTGCCCGATGGACCTGGCTCTGCCTACAGGACGTCACAGTAGCTTTCTTGGACTGGGCACTCGCCATGATATCCCAGCAATAGATCCTGCCTGCCTGGCCACTGGTTTCTATGATGGGCAAGCTGTCAGAGACTGCTGGAGGGTAGAGAAGGCAGCTGTCTCTTCACTCGGTGCCTGAATTCTATCTCCTAGGTGAGGGGCCAGGTGGCTCTGCCTCACTTCTCTGTCTTTAGGGGACTGGGCTGGAGCTTCTGAGCTTCTCAGCCTCCTGCTCACAGGTCTGCTAGGTGTCTCAGGCCCAGTGGCACAGCTCTCAGCCTCCTTTGGGCTGGTAGCCTTTCTCTACTTCTCTCACCCCTCTCTGTCCCTCCATCTCAGCACTTAAGCCCCCTCAGCCCCCCTCCAAAAAAGGGAGGTGGCCATCTTTCCCCATTCCTGGTAATAACTTAAGCCACAGCAGAAAAAGGGAAAGGACTTCAGAAGGGCCAGCACCACAGTGGATGACAGCAGCATCACTTCCACCAGCAGCCTGTGTAGCCATCAGTGGACATGCAGGCCATGTGGAAATGTCTGTTACCTCAGAACACCCAGAACAAGCAAGCCTTCCATCCACCTGGACAGCAGCGCCCTTCTTCTATCAGCCTGCCAAAGGCCGTCGGCATATGGCTTCTGGGTGGAATAAAGGGCAGAGATTGGATTCCTAGCTTTCTTCGAATCTTCATGTGGGAATTCCCATAATTTGGGGTTAGAACCACAGTCTTGGGTCTCTGCCCTCGGTGTTGCATTGATAATTGACCTGGCAGAGAAAGTCCGTCTCTATCACTCAAAAGGAGGTTCCCATGATTCAGTTGGCTTTACTGATTTTGTCTAACTTGTCAATTATTCCTATCCAAAATTTTGACTCCATGTGATTGAGAAAACAGGCAGAGCTGGGTGATCTCCTGATCCTTCATTTATTAATTGGTTCATTTTATCAGACAATGGTTGAGAACTCCAAAACATAAAACCAGGGTTTATTACCAGTCTTTTCATTTTGGTTTGAGATAACTCATTGCAGGGTTGTTAGTTCTGTCCCTTGGGCTCTTTAGGTCTAGTAAGTGCTGTTCCTCAGGCAGCTTTGTTTCCCCCAGAAGCACCACAGTTCAGCAGGAATGGCAGTCACTTCCTTTCCATCCCTCTCCTGTGGCACCTAGAGATACCACACTGTCCCTTCCCCAAGTGAAATTAAAGTAGCAAGTTTGGAAACATCTTGACCCAATTTATACACAAAGCCTCTGGCTTTTGCTACTTATTTTAGGAAGTAAACAGTCACAGCTTGCTGCCTTACTGGCCTTTAACTGTGAACTTTGTTCCCAGTGAGAAAAAGCCTTTTCTGTCCAAGGACCAAACATGGCCTACCAGGCCAGATTGTACAAGTGTCCCACAGCATGTTCTGTTTATTCTCGTCCATCAGCCACAAACAGTTCAACCCTACCTCATGAGTTGGAGAGGACTTTTGACAGCCTGGAGTAGCCATAGCACAAGACAAGATACTAACTATGCTTTTGCAAGAACAGTTAAGAAAATACTAGCCTGGTTGTGTTTTGTTTTGTTTTCCCAATCCAGCATCCTTGGGCATGTCATGATTCTGTGCTGACATTTACTCTGTGGTGATTTAACATGGGTTCATAATTTCTAGTGTTAAAATCCTTAAATGTCCAGATGCACGCTTTTAATCCCAGCACTCAGGAGGCAGAGGCAGGTAGATCTCTGTGAGTTCAAGGCCATCCTGGTCTACAGAGTTCCAGGACCGGCTCCAAAACTACACACAGAAACCCTGTCTCAAAAAAAAAAGAGAGGTGGGACTTCTTAAAGTGATCCATTCTTTTACTCTATAATAGTTTCCCGTTATTCAGGGTATGGATGAATATTTAATATATGTGTGTGTTTGTTGTTGTTTTTTTTTTTTTAGACAAGGTTTTTCTCTGTGTAGCTTTTGGAGCCTGTCCTGGAACTCACAGAGATCAATCTGCCTACCTCTGCCTCTTCCTCCCAAGTGCTGGAATTAAAGGCATCTGCGTGGCCTGATATCAAATATGTCTTGCGCCCTAATAACTAATGTACTGAGCTGGGTGTGGTGGTGCACTCCTTTAATCCCATCACTTGGTAAACAAAGAAAGGTAGATCTCTGAGTTCTAGGCCAACCTGGTCCACAGAGTGAATTCCAAGTCAGCCAGGGCTACACAGAGAAACCCTGTCTTCAAAAACAAACAAAACCTAATGTACTATAATGCACTATCAGTAAGTGATGTTAACATACTGGTAAAAATATTTGAGTTATTTTAGAGCAATTTCAGGTTCATATCAAAGGCAAAACTAGAGGCTTGTTCTTATCACCACGCTCAAGCACACACACACACAGCTTCCCCGCCATTTATCTCTTTAACATGCATATGTTACAGTCTGGCCCTACACTGACTCAGCTACCACCCAAGGTCTGTACCTTAGATGAGTTCTTCCTTCCAAATTAGTAGGTTACATGAAATTCCTGTTGTGGACCTGGGAGTGATGACTCAGTGGCCAAGAGTACATACTGCTTCTTCAAGAGGACCCATGTTCAGTTCCCAGTACTCATATAGATGGTTCACAACCATAACTCCAGCTCAGATTCCTGATGCCTTTGGTGTCTATACATACCTGCACTCATGTACATACATACATAAAATTAAAAGTCCAATAAGTCTTAAGTGCCTGATGGCATGTGTCCACCACTCCACAGACAGGTAAATTTCACCAACATAGAAAGGCCCTGGCTTCTCATTATGCTTTCCCAGAGCCACTGAATGTCACTGATCTTGACAGTCTCCAGATTTTTGCCTTCTTTCCCACACTGCCATGGCATTGATTACCACACATATTTTAAGTTACAATCTCTCCCACCACAGAGAAGTTTTGTTCCCCAAACCGAGTCAAAGGCAGTTCAAAGGAGGTAGAATTCTTAACTGGTCTCTGAGCATCAGCCAGCCATGCTAACAACCTGAGAAGACAGACAAAGCCATTTCAGTGAGTGGTTTCTGTTATTAAACCCCATATTCCAAATGTTCTGGGTCATAGCCACATCTTGGTGGTTTGGCACTGCACACTGCTGGACCACCTGACATCACAAAGTGTTACACAAGGACAGTGCGGCTATGAAGGACTGTCACATTAAGGAGTTGAAAATGACCTAGAAATGTCTTGAGATCCCAGAAGCAAAGTCATATTTGCTACTTTTGAGTGTGGATGCATTAATGCTGATGCTACAGAATAAAGTGGTGTATGGTCTTCACATTCAGTTAGCTGTCATATCGCTGTCCATGGGTTGGTGGAGGAAGTGCCATTGTCCACACAATTTAGGATGGGAGAAAGGGCTCACACAAATCCCAGTATTACGGCAGTGTGGAGTATCTGAAGCCAGTGGGAAGCAGTTAAAATTTCTCTCCATAGTTCCTGAATAGACCATTTATCTAAGTGAATCTAATGCCAAGTCAGGACCACTGCCTCACTGGCCTCACTGAAGCTAAGCATTTGGGACTATAAGAAGATGTGACCTTGGACAGGCCTGCAACAGCTATCATTACTAAACATGAAGAGCCAAACTTGAGGCATGCCTCTAATTCCAGCACTTGAGGAGGCAAGAGGCTCATATGTCAAAGTCAGCCTGCTCTACTTGAAACACCATTTCAAAAAAAAAAAAATCTCAGCCCTGAAGAGGCAAAGGCAGGTGAATCTCTTAGTTCGAGGCCAGCCTGGATTACACAGTGAGTTTTGGATAGACTGGGCTATGTAGAGAGCCCCTGTGTCAAAAAAAAAAAAAAAAAGCAAGAAACCAAACAAAAGTGAACATCCTAGCCTGCCAGTTCTGAAATCCTCTAGAACCTTCTAGGGGTTCTAAGAACTCGAGATTGTCTTCATAATAATGCTAAGACGTCATTTGCCTTTGTGATTGACAGGAGTACAGCTGGAATTAAACACATAAAATTGGGCCGGGCGGTGGTGGCGCACACCTTTAATCCCAGCACTCGGGAGGCAGAGGCAGAGGCAGGCAGATCTCTGTGAGTTCGAGTCCAGCCTGATCTACAAGAGCTGGAACAGTCCAGGCTCCAAAGCCACAGGGAAACCCTGTCTCAAAAAACAAACAAACAAACAAACAAAAACATAAAATTGCTAGGGCATCAGCAGGAGTCCAGGCAATATTGTTCAAGTATTAGTCCTCATACAGCCCATTCACTAATGGGGGTCCTTGGTGGAGTGGGGGATGCCACAGCAGTGACCAGAGTTCATGAACCCACTAAAAAGACAGTTTCTGAGACTTAATCGTTATTGGGGAACCTAAAACAGTTTTTCTTCAAATAATACAGCAAAAAAAAAAAAAAAAAAAAAAAAAAAAAAAAAAAAAACACCTTTTAGAGCCCATCCTTTTGGAGCTCAGTGTGTGAAAAGTATAGCAGCAGCAACTAATAAAAGTGCAGCATTTACCCAGGTCATCTTTTTTAAAAGATTTTTCAAGATGGGTGGTTGTGGTGTACACCTTTAATTCCAGCACTCAGAAGCAGGCAGATCTTGTGAGTTCAAGGCCAGCCTGCTCTACAGCGCGAGTTCCAGGATAGCTCCAGAGCTACAGAGAAACCCTGTCTCGAGAAACCAAAAACCCCAAAAGGAAAAAAAAAATTATAGATACCATTTATGATAAACGATCATTGGAGGGTGGGGGAGGAGGGTTGGGGGTGAGGGGAGGGAGAGGGAGAAGGGACTTGAAATAAGCTTGTTCCCTAACTAGAACTAATAAAATAAAATAAATTTAAAAAAAAAGATCATTGGAATTTTGGAGGGGATTGCACTGGATTTATAGCTTTTTCTAAGTAGGGCTACTATTTAAACAATATTAAACCTTCCAAACCAACTCAAACCATCTATCGTGTGATTCCTCTTATTTAAGGCCTTCAATTTCTTTATTATTGTTAAGGGCATGTGTATGACCAGATCAAGCTGAGGGAGTTGGCACTCTCCTTCCACTGTGGGCTCTGGGGCTTGAACTCAGGTCGCCAGAAACTGACTTTCACTCAGCAGAGTTCCTTCTGCTTTTAGATTAATGTTCATTGTTCTTTACATAATTTGATAGACTTCACATTAAGTTCTCTGCTTCTGAATTTCTTCCTGCTCCGTGTTTCTGATTACTGAAATCCTCTTTTTATTTCAACTTTTTCCACATCTTTTTGAGTCGCTCTAGAAAATTTGTGTTTCTAGAAATTTGTCATCTGTCTGTAGATTACCTAATTTTGTTATAAAATTATTTATAGTACTTATTTTTTAATTCTTTTACTGCATATGCTTCTCTTTACAAAGTACCTTCTGTGTGTCTCTTTACAAAGTACCTTCTGTGTGTCTCTTTACAAAGTACCTTCTGTGTGTCTGTGTACATATGTGTGAGTTCGTGTGCTGCAGCATCGTGTGCTGGTGTATGTAGAGATGGGAGGACAATCTGCCAAAGTTGGTTCTCTCCCTCCACCATATGGGTCCAGGGTATCAAATTCAGGTCCCTCAGGTTTGACAGCAAATGTCTTTACTGCTAAGCTATCTCTAAAGGATTCTTTAATACTTAAATCAATGAATGCTATTGTATATTTCTAGGAAGTAAACTGGCAACTTTTATCAAAAGGTAGAAAAGTCTCATACTGTTTGACCAAACAAGTATACTCCTAAAAGTCTTCCAGATGAGTAAGCAGAAATGTGTGAGCACATATTTTTAAGAATGTGCAGGGGCTAAATAGTGAGATCCTGTCGAAAACACAGACATGCAGATCAAAGGGTGGTGGTGCAAGTCTGTGATCCCCAACACGTGGGTCAGGATTAACCTCCAATACCTTTCTTAAAAGAAAAGGGAACGTGCATGCAGGGCGGGTGTTGGTGGCGTACGCGATTAATCCCAGCACTCGGGTAGTGAGTGGTTGCTAGGGAAAGAAGGGAAGCCATGCCAGGAGCCATGACCTGAAGAGTAAAGGATGTTCCTCCTAGTAATCACACACACACACACACACACACACACACACACACACACACAGACACACACACAAAAAAAAAAAAAAAAAAGTTTTGGTCAGATGTGGTGCTGCACGCTTTTATCTTAGCATTCTGGATGCAGAGGCATTCGAAGTTCTTCGAGTTAGAGGCCACATTGGTCCCAGGCTCGAGCCCGAATATTAAAACAAAACAAGAAAAACCAAAAAGCCCAAAAGAAGCCTCTAGTAGAGAGGTGACATTTGTACAGCATTGTGATTGCACTAAATGTCACTGAATCGCTCACTCACCCGGAACCGCTCTGATCTAAGCAGTGTGGAGCCTGGTTAGTACTTAGGTGGAACACCCCTTTGGGAATACTTTGTGCCGTAGGCTTGAGAACAAATAGGTAAGTATGTTTTTGAACCTCAAAGAAATTTTAAAGGCTTCATAATTAAATATAGCAAGGGAGTGAGGGAAAGGGGCGGGAGAGACAGACGGCGGGGAGGTAACATTGGGGAGGGGAAGGAAGAGAGGAGGAAAGAGAAATATGAATTACTTAAAAATGCTAACCATGTGCTCTGAAAACTCTCCACAGCTGGGGTTCAGGCATGGTGGCAGCATCCCCCCTACCCCCACGCCCCAGCAGAATGAAGTCAAAACAAGATTTGAAACCATCACTCCACCTGGCTGCATGTTTCAGAACTGGAACTAGAGGCCAAGTCTCTGGACACACCCACTCCAGAGACAGGGCGGGCAACACGGGGCTGGGGGGCTGGGGTGTCGAGACCGGGTTTCTCTGGGTAGCCCTGGCTGTCCTGAAACTGGCCCTGTAGAGCAGGCTGGCCTCGAACTCACAGAGACCCGCCTGCCTCTGCCTCTGCCTCCCGCGCGCTGGTAACTTTGAGTGAAAACCAATCAATGGTAGTCTGGCCCTGTGAGGAAAAGCAACAGGTACGTAAGCCTGATCCCGGGCAGCGGCGGCCAGACCTCGGCCCTAAGTGAGTTTGCTCAGCAAGCGCTGGGCACTGCAGGATCCGGCAGGTCGGGGGACTGCACCCGGCCGGCCGCAGGGCACTCGTGGGGAGGAGCCCGCGTCCCCCGCCGCATCTCAGCGTCCAGGGCTCGGGGATCGCTCGCCTCCCGCGCCTCGGCGTTTCCTTCTGGTGAGGGCCTGGGTGAACGAACGGACCCGGTCCCTTGGCTGGACCGAGCGAGTGTCGTTGGCGCCATCAGGAGAGCATGCTTTTTACTTGCACCACGCCGAAAACCAAAGGAAACCTGGAGCTGAAGCAGCGAGACGATTCCAAGTCCCCCAAACCCCGGGACTAGTTGTCGGCACAGCGGGAGGAACGCCGCCCGGCTCGGCCCTGAGGCGGCTGGCAGCGCGTTCCCGCCGCGGGGTGCGAGCCGGCAAGCCCGGTGCCCCCTTCCGTCGCCGTTCCTTGCCGCCCCGGCCTCCTAAGAATCACGCTACAAGCTAGAAAAATTCGCGGTAAGCATTAGAGGCAAAATGGCAACCCTCCGGAGCAGCGGGGCCTTCGATAGCTCAGTTGGTAGAGCGGAGGACTGTAGTGGATAAGCTGTAGCGATCCTTAGGTCGCTGGTTCGATTCCGGCTCGAAGGACTTCGTGCATTCTTTTTAGTTTCATTCTATCTCAATTACTCCGCGTGGGGAAAACCATAATTAGGAGATGGGTGGTGTATTTGCTTGTCGACTTTGGGTGGGACACGTAGGCAGATAGGTAGTCCGAGTACAGTGCGTCCTGTTCGTGCATTAGGTATAAAGATATAGTACGGCAAGAAAAGTCTTATTGCTCATGTGTGTATTCCATGGATTAGTTTCAAAACCTTGCTGAGGAATCCAGCGTACTTTATAGATACTCTAGATACTCTAAATTATATTAGAACTTTTCCGTCCAGTAGACCTACTGGCAAAACTTGTAAAGGCAACAGGAAGAGACAGAACACCAGCTGGGGGATTAGCTCAAATGGTAGAGCGCTCGCTTAGCATGCGAGAGGTAGCGGGATCGATGCCCGCATCCTCCACTTCCTTTTTTTTTTTTTTTTTTTGCACTCTACATCGATGCTATCGTTAACACTAAACACGTGCGGGTTCATGGACTGTTTTGGGCATTTTGCTACACAGCACAGCGAGGGGCATGGTAAGCAAGGGTCCGCTTCGCGCGGTGTCTTCTTATTCGTAGGTAGGTCTTTTCCTGTCTCCCCCCCCCCCTTGTCTTTCCCGCCTCGGGGAGGCCGGCCGTTAACCGCCTGCAGAGGAGACGCTGCGGGAGCGGCGGGCCGCGCTGGCCCGCGGGAAGCCCCCAAACGGCCCCCTCGCAGGTACCTGCCAACGTGCACGGAACCCTGCAGGCCGACCAATGGCAGCGCGCTTTACTGGGCGGGTAGCCAGCTGCAGCTGCGGCCAATAGGCAAGAGACTTGTTGTTTCCTGGCAGAGCGGGGTCCCGGCACCGCGGCTCTCTGGTTTTGTGTGGGTCCTGGGTGGAGGGCCCGGGTGCCGGGGCCCGAGGTGCCGCCTCGCTAGCGGGAGAGGGAGCGGGAGCAGCGGCCCCACCTCCGTTCCTGTGGCCTCACCTCTGACCCCTAGGACCTGCCTTCCCGTCCTCCAGTGTATCTGTCTCGACCGTTCCCACGCCTCCAAACCCTACCCTGCCCTGCCCTGCCCTGGACAAGCCAGTCAGTGCGAGGGTCCTGGCGAATCAAGGAGCTGCTTGCTGCTTCCAAGCGGGATTCTACTGGCCCAGCCTTCCTAGGGGTGCTTAGGACACCCGTTACCCACATCTTTGAGGGTAGCTTTTGCACGGGCTCCAGTGTCTACAGGGCGGGAGGATGGAAACATCAAGGTTGGAACTGAGGTTCAGGGCAGGTGAGCAAGTGGCTTTGGCCAGGTACAGGCCATGTTTTCTGGTTCTCAATAATAGGCATAGTATAGGCAGGGGGTGGCAACAACAGAAACAGCTTTTCAAACAACGGCATGATTCTAGTCAGTGCTTGTGAAGACAAAGGGGTAAAGAAAGGAAGCCACCATTTACACTTAGAACTGGGTTCTTCCTGCCCTGGGCTGCACAGTACAAAGACAATCTAGGGAATTTTAAAAATGGCCCCCTTCATAGAGTTGGTGGCAGCCATCTGACCTCCAGTCCCTGCTCTTAGAAGGGTGAGAACCTAATGTTTCCCAACTCAGCTACGGAAGCCATTGAGCATTTGATTTGGCAACAGCTGCGTTGTAGTAAAATGGGCTCTTTTAGGTTACTCATAACCCTTGGGTGTCTAGGGACAGAGTTCTGCTTTCTCTTGATCTTGCTGGAAGGCTACTTTCATGTTTTCTAAGAAAAGGAATATTTTGCTTCATAGAGTACTAAAAGCATTTCTCATTCATCCAGAGATACCCAAAAACAGTGTTGCATGTTTCTCCCCCCTCCTCCCTACACTACCTTTCGTTTTTTCCCCAGCTCTCAGGGCCTGTGTGGGGCAAGAGGATGCTTTCCCAGCCCCACCATGGAGCTGCGCTGTGGGGGATTGCTGTTCAGTTCTCGCTTTGATTCAGGGAACCTAGCCCATGTGGAAAAGGTGGAAACTGTGCCTATTGATGGAGAAGGAGTAGGAGGGGGGGCATCAGCCCCCACTAGTAGCGTTGCTTCTTCCCCTGACTACGAGTTCAACGTGTGGACCCGGCCAGACTGTGCTGAAACAGAATTTGAGAACGGAAACAGGTAATAAGTACTGAGAGGGTGGGTGGGAGTGTCCAAGTGCGGGGTGCAGAGTGCAGTCAGTCCTCTGACTTTGTACATGCTACCACAGTTTCCAAATCCTCCTCTTTCCTTCTTACTAAATAGCCCTTTGCTGCTTTGACTTGATCCAGCTTTCCCCACACGTCTCCTCTCTAACCCTCCCACATTTAACAGCTAGTGTCTCTTTCGGTTCCCAGGTCATGGTTCTACTTCAGTGTCCGGGGAGGAACGCCAGGAAAACTTATCAAGATCAACATTATGAACATGAACAAGCAAAGCAAGCTATATTCTCAGGGCATGGCCCCCTTTGTGCGCACATTGCCTTCTCGGCCACGCTGGGAACGCATTAGAGACCGGCCCACCTTTGAGGCAAGTTCTTCATTAGGAAGAAAGACTGTGCTATTAGAGGAAACAAGTTCCTGATAGAGAGTACCAGGCAGGTAGAACCCCTAAGTTTTAGTATCTTCTTTCTTTCACCCCTAGCTGGGGTCCAAGATGAGCCCCTACTTCAGCAAGCCTGAAGAAGCTGGCTATCATATGGAAAGTATCAGAGGGAGGGGAGTTGGTAAAGGTGAGAAAGCAAGAGGTCAGTTCCTGGTGTCCCCAACAGGAGGAGTTCAGTTCTGATAGAGATGACTGTTTCCCCTCATCTTCCTCCTCTGCTCCCCAGATGACAGAGACACAGTTTGTGCTATCCTTTGTTCACCGTTTCGTAGAGGGCCGGGGAGCCACCACCTTCTTCGCCTTCTGCTACCCCTTCTCCTACAGTGACTGCCAGGATTTGCTAAACCAGCTAGACCAGCGCTTTCCAGAAAATCACTCTACCCATAGCAGGTGCTAACCCATCTTTACCCCTGTCACACTGTCTTAGATCCTACAGTACCTCTGCAGCTTCTGGCATTTGTCCTAAAAACTCTCAGCCAGAACTTCATCAGTCTTTTCCCTGTGTAGAAAGTAGCATTTTGAAAAAGGTGTTCCTTTGCAACCATGATCAGCATACCACCACTTAAACTGCATTCTCCCACATGCCCAGTTTATATCCCTACTCCAGTTCTCATCAGTTATCTAGAATTTAGCCAGTACTGTGGCTGTTCAGCATATCTTCATCTGCCTTTACTGATGACAACTCTCTATATATACAAATTAAATCTAGCCTTATGTCCTAGGAAACAAACTAGGAAATCAAACAAAAAGTTCACCCAAAAAAGAAGGGGTGGAGAAACAACAGCAAGATGACTCAGTGAGTAAAGGAGGGTGCTTGCTATCAAGCCTGATGATGAATTCATCCCCAGAACTGACATGACAGAGGAAGAGAACCAACTTGTGAAAATTGTACTCTGACCTCCATACACATCGTGTGCACATGCGAGTGCGAGCACACACACACACACACACACACACACACACACACACACACACA